TTTTTTTTTTTTTTTTTTTTTTTTGCTCTGTTAATGTAAATGTGAATTTTTTTGTTATATATTTTGTAAGAAATAAAAGAACTACCAACTGAAATAAGTGAAAAAAAAAAAAAAAAGAAAGAAAAGAAACGATTATCCTGCCTAAATAGATTTGTCGAGCATTTGTTGTTGGCAGCTTAACAACAGTTCTGATTTTTGAAGAAGATTAAATTTAAGATTGTTACTAAAGTTGCATTTGGTTAAGTCAAAAAAGCACTGAAAAGCACACTTTTTTTTGTTTGTATTCTGATGTAAATTGCAAAGAAATGCCAAAAAGCAATTGTTAATGCTCCTCTATTGGTTCCTATAACTTCAGACCACTTTTTTATTGCCTATTCTATAGTTGATCAGTTAACCAGTATCCTAATGTTTTCTTGGAATTATCTTAATACCGTCTGACAGTAGTCTAAAGAAAAATGATAAGACACTTGATTACTTTTGTGTGAATATAGATTAGCTTTTAAACATGCTTTGAGTGTTCTGTTGCTTCAATTATTTGTGCTCAAGTATTTTTCCCAATTTTATGTTCTTGTTGGCTCCTGGAGAACCTACTTCGTGTTTCTTTTGTAAAGCCTTATTTTTTTTCTAAAATATATTACTCTTTTATTAGGCAACTGTAACAGAGCGGGTCGTTGAAACGTTTACAGGTGTTTTAGTTTTTTCATTTTTGTATTTCTGAAAAGTGTTTATTCAGTCTGCGAAAACAAGCGTTTTACCAACTTTCATTCTCTTCTTTTTTTTTTGCAAGGGGGAGAGGGTTAAATAGCAATGAAAATGTTAAGAGTAGTTCCTCTTATCGACATCTTATAATGTACAATATACTTCAGAATCCTGATCAAACTGAACAGTCATGAAACAGAAATACGATATTCAATAAAAAACTACAAAAAAATTCAGATTGATTATTTAAATTGTAGGAATTTTTATGAAGAGTACTATTAGCATTGTATCCTACAGAAAAGAAATAAAATAATTTATGTATTTACTGTAAGATTACATTACAATTGTACGTTCGTTGAACTATCGTCAGGAGAGTAAAATCAGTATGATTGTATGCCAATAAACGTGTTGTAATAAATAGAAAATGCCGAAACTTTTTTGAAACCTCTTTTTTATGTTTAAGGTATTTTATGCGCACATCTGTTCGGTTGCAAGGTATTTTTACAGTTTTGTACTAACTTTGCTGAGGCTGAATTAAAATTGCCGTTTACAAAAGTTGTATTTTTTTCTGTAACTCTTTTTTTGGTTAATTTGTTATGCTGTCATATGGTATTAGTGGAACCAAAATTAATAAAGGATTGAATTCAAAAACTTAGCTTTTATCAAGTTATCAGCCCTGTTTTGACAGCGGTAGTTTCTGAAAGATCTGAAACACAATTGCTTTATTGATGATTTACCACTAGCATAAGCAGAGCGAAAAATTCTGAATCTGGTTTGAAGATCCAGTAGAGCCTGTTTTTTTTTTTTTTTCAGCATAATTTGTTGCTGAACGTAGTTAGCAATCAGAATTGCATAGTGACGAACACTTCAGAATGCGTATCCTACAGGGACCAAAGGGCCGAAGGATTCGCACAGATATAGACGTTTTCTGCAGCATAAAAATGTCACACTTTATCATACAAATAATTTTTGTTGATTTGTTGCAAACAACAGTGCAAAGAATGGTTTCAGCAGTGTTCATGAAGGTGAATTTGCTTCCTTTTATCTTCCCAGACAAAACTCGGCTTTTATTTAGATTAAACTATTGCTTTACACTAGAGCTTTACAGTAAATGCGTGTAAATTGTTATTTTCTTTCATATCTTACAAGATGCACAGTGACGAAATAGATGGTTCAACAATCTATGCTTAAAATCTAGGAATCCAGCAAAAAATGAGAGCACCGAAAACAGCAGTGGTGGTAGTGATTTTTGCACGGCTAAAAGGAAGCTGCTTTTATGATAATTTTGTCATGCTTAGACTTCTGCTGTCAATCGCTTTCAAATTTAAGTTTTGGGACAGAAGAAATTTTTAGTGCTTAAGCATATCGTTTATTGCCACAATTCTGTTTCTTTTTTGCTGTAATAAGAACTTTTTTCTTGTAGTATCAAGATTTCTGTTTTTAGTTTAATGCCGATTATACAGAGTAATGACAGAAAAATTTTTTTTCTATTTTCCGGAACAATTTTTCGTTATTCACCAGATTAGTGGTGTTCATTGAACTGTTTCGGTAAATATCGAAAAATTTTAGCGGACAAATTCATTTCGTCTTCAGTTGGTTCTGTTACAATGGACAATCAATAACTGCGACCAAAACTATGCAAATCATCATTAATTTTTGTTGCCATTTTGAATTACTTGTCGTTGTTTTATAAGACTTACTTGGCAAGACTAGACAAGACAAGTAAAAATTGAGACAGGTATCATATGTCTTTTATTAGTTTTGTTACTTAAATTTGCCAAGAGATATGTATGGTTTGTTTATAGGTAGACTTTTATTGGCAAGAAATTGTTTTCCACGCCATAATTTTGCTAATACATTCCACCAATTATACTCATCTGTTTCATCTTGTTTCTCGTTCTTCTTGACTTTTTCTTGTGATAAAAGTATAAAAATCGGGATAAACATTATCAAAATGCGCAATTGTTGTGTTTCGTTTTCTTTTATTCAAAGTGATATTTTGATTGGTATTTTTGATTGGTGTTGATAAGAAAATGTTGGTCGAAATCAGTATTTCTGTGCGATTTAGCTGAATCTCTTTGGCATTGTCGTTTTGAATTGGTTTTTCCGCTTTATTTTAACTTTTGATAGTGCTCTGTATTTTGTTGCAGACGTTTGCTGTTAGTTTTTTGTATGATTTATAAAAAATTTATTGTAGTCATTATCGCAGTACTTTGAAATCGAAAAAAAGTAGTTTAGATGATTGTAAAAAAAAAAATATTTTGAAGCTGTAATGTCCAATTAGTCAAAGTTTTCTCTCCTTTTTTTTCTGTTAGATAACTGATCAAGGTTATATTGTCATTTTAGGATGATTTGGTTTACGAAATTTGAAAAAAAAACTAGTTATCTCTCAACCTCGTTTCTAGTAGCCAAAAAAAGTTTTGTACTCTACTACTATATTGTTTGTTTCCTCTATGACCATATTTTTGACACTCCCAAACTGTGTAATGAAAGTTGCCTATAACAGATACGCCGTGAATGATAAAAGTTTAAAAAGGCAACAGAAACAGTTAATACAACGAATTATATTGTTTTACTTGGAAAAAAAGAATGAAGAAGAAATATGAACGTCATGGATTGAACTTTGAAAATAAAAAGACTGAATTTTTCTTAGCGCTATTATGGTGCAGCAAAAAGCTGTCAGAAATACGAGCTGTAGTATTCTGTCACCAATTTGCTCATCGGATAATTTATTTGAATTATGCAGAATACTGTTGAAAGATATGGTCTTACTTCAAAATTTCTCTTCATTTTTCTTTTTTATGTCTTGTTTATATCTAGCAAAACTTGAAAGATTTTGTTGTTAAAAAATTTGTTTTATCAGTTACTGTCTGCGTTTTCGAATTTCCATTTTCAACATATTAGTGAGTAACCAACATCAGTACTTCGTGCTGCCGACTTTCAACTGTCTTAACGTATACTTGAAATATGCCGCTTTAGTAAAAATATTTTATGCTATTTTATAAACTGTAGAGATTTTGTTATTTTTATGCACTAACGTTAAAAGTCATCTTTTTTTTCTTTCAGTTTTACACCCAACTGATACTCTCGCTTTGTAGTTCTGTCAGTTAAACACTGGTAATGAATTAACATTCTTATTTTTTTAATTTACAGCATTTTTCAATATTATAATGATTTGCAACCTTACAGTTGCGATTTTCTGTCATATTGCAGACGTTCAAAACTTTTTTCCAGCAGCGCATTTTGTTGCACCGATTTCAGTGGCAAAATTTTTTGCAAAATTTTTGCATTTTCCTTCGTTTATTAACGATATTTCTTCGTCTATTAACGAGAAAGCCAAAGCAGTACACCAGTTTTTTATAACAAAAAAATTCTATGGGGCAAAAGGAATGAAACAAAGCGTTCAAATTTACTGAACTTTTGTGAGGTTCTTCTATAAGTTGCTTAATCTATTTGCTGAACTATAGTGCTAAAAATTTTGAACGACAACTGAAGCTGAAACCTTGTAGTCATGTAAAAACCGATCGTTATTTGATTTATGTACTAATGATTGGGTATATATCTTTTGAATCAGTAATATTTGTAATAAATATTAATTTGCTTTTATTTCAAAAAATTTTTCAAAAAAACGGCTTAGAACAGAATTTTCTAGTCGTTTCTCTTGCTACAGTTTAACAGAATCGTTTATCCTACTTTTTATGGGCATCAGAAGCGACTCAGTTCTTGTCTAGCAGATATTCTGCGCTTATAAATTTTAGGCGTTTTCAGGAAAATAACAATGATACTAAATAGTTACATGTGCAGTATTGCTGAAGAAAAGACTTGTATAGAATCGAAGACAATATTCGTAAAACTTAAAACAGTTTTTCTTTTCAATTATTGCACTTAAAATGTTGACGTAATAAAATCAAGAAAATGGTTGGCACTTCACTTGTTCGTTTCTGATTTTTTGCTTTTATTATATTTTGAGGAGGAAGAAAAATGTAATTGGCATAAACAAATTTACCGAAACAGTTTGGAGAAACGTGCTTTTTTTCTGTCTTAGCGACATGTATGTTAGATCTGTCTTAAAAACAAATAACTGTTGACTGTATTAATATTTGTTACTGTAATGTATTTCGAAAGGATGGGTCAGCTTTTTAGCCGACCTCTTGAGCATTTCAACAGTGTATTAAATTAGTTGAACTGCTGAAACAACTTTTATGTAATGAACACATTGAGATGAATCACCAATTTTTGTCTATGAATTCAGATATTTTGATCTTTCCGATTATTGAGCGATGCTGTCATGCTGTAATTGGCAAACTTTATAAATCTTAGTGTACGGAACAGCAAAATATTTGTAGTTTGCGGTAGAAGTGAGGAGGTAAGCGAACGGAAAAAGTGAAGGAAATGAGTAGGAAAGGGAATTTCTGATAACATGCGCTAGCTGATAAAAGTAGAACAGCGGCTTTACAGATCGCCTAAATTTTTAGGTTTTATTTTAAACCTCAGAGGACAATTAGACCGGTAGAAAGAAGATAAAACAACTTACGAATTAAAATACAAACTACATCTTTTTTTCGTTGTTGTGTTGAACAAATGATTCATTTGAATCGTATAAAATATTGTTTTACCATATGACTGTACGTCAGATTTTCTCATCCTCTTTTTTATGCCTTGTTTATATGTGTAGTACTTAGAATATTTTGTTCTTAAGAGATTTGTTTTATTGGTTACTGCTTGCTTTTCAAGTTTTAATTTTCGATAAATTAGTGGCTAACGAACATTAGTTCTTCATGTTGTTGGCTTTCAACTGTCTTAACGTATTCTTGAAATATACCACTTCAGTAAAAATATTTTATACTATTTTGTAAACTATCAAGATTTTGTTTTTTTTTTCATGCACTAAACCAACTTTAATTTATGTTTTACTTTCAAGTAATACTGTTTTTTTCGCTTAAAGACTGGTAACAATTCGACATTTTTAACTTACAGCGTTTTTCAATCTTCTGATAGTTTTGCAGCTTTATAGTTACAACTTTCTGTTATAGGAGACATCAAAGTTTCGATTGTTTAAAGTACATATATAACAATAGATTTTACGCTAACAGTTTTAGTGGCAAAACTTGAGCAGAGCAAATCCTTTTCTATTGTTTTCTTATTCATAAGTCAGAAAGCCAGAACAGTTTATTGACCTTTTATAACAAACAAATTTTATCGAGTTAAGGAAAACAATACGAAACGTTTGAAATCACCTTTAAGATTGCTGAAAATCTATGAAGTTCTATGATTTGTTTAACTTATTTACTGATCTATGACACTACCAATTCTGCGCATGACAATAAGGTTACAGTTTTTTGTAACCTTATGGTCATGCACAAAACATTCTTTACTCTGTGCACTAATACTGTAATATTCATCTTTAGATTTTATCATATATTTGCTATAAATATTAATTCACTGCAATTTTAAAAAAAATTTTGAAGATAAGGAAACTGATAAAATATTTTGTCTATCATCCCTTTTGTAACTATGTAACAGTCCCAAACAGTTCCACTTAGCAGACTGCCCAAAAGCACCAGAAGCAGTTTTTCTTCAGTAAATATTCTGTGCTCATAGGTGTTAGGCTTTATCGCCAGACTAACAACAATACTGAACAGTTACAACAGTAGTGTCATTAAAAAAGGTTCATAAAATCTATAAGATAAAGTGTTCAAAAAGGTTTGTTTAGTCCTTTTTGCTCGAATGTTGGTCTAATAAAGTCAAAGAAAAAGTTAGTACACTAATCCTCTGTCGTTTTTTTTTTTCTATTTTAATCTTTGTTGGCTTTCAGCTTTATAAGCGCAATTTTATGTCACATTGGGCATCAAAACTTTATACATCTAGAACTTTCTTTAGCAGTACACTTGAAGTTGTTAGTCTTAGTGGCAAAATTTTTGCAAAGTTATCTATTTGTTTTTGATATATCTGTGTCTGTTTCAAAGATAATGCTTATTTCAACAAACCTTGTTGCATTTTGTTTTTTTTGGTTTTTACATGGTTAAAAAAAAAATATGCAAATTTGTTTACTTTTCTCTACCGTTATGCAAAATATGTTTTTAGACTTCGACTTCAAAAAAAGCAACAAAAATTGCTGCTTTGGAACTGGTAACCAAAAAGAAAACCTGCACCAATGAATGAGGACGTGTTTTCTTCAAACAGTAAATTGGGTACAGATTTTTAAAGTTCATTTTCATTTTTTTTCTTTTTCGCTACTTTACAGTAAAATTTAGGAGAAAAAGTAAGGATCTTTGCATTTAGTGGTCTTGGTTACCGGTGCTTCTGGTTATATTGCATTACACTGTGTAGAACAACTGCTACAGGCTGGTTATTCAGTTCGTGGAACCGTTCGAAGTCTTCACAACAAAGCCAAGGTTGGTTTTACAGAAAACTTACAGCATATCATTGTTATTTCTAAAGATTTCAACTTTATTTAGTTTATAAACTTGGAAAAATTTTAACGGTAATTAGTATATTTTTATTTAGGTGAATCCATTAAGAGATTTAGAATACGGTTCTGAAAGGCTCGAATTAGTGGAAGCCGACTTAGAATGTCCAGAGCACTGGCCAAGGTATGAATTCAAAAACACATTTATTTTTCATACTTTTTCTTCTTGTTATTAATAGATTTTTTTATTTTTTGTACTAAACAGTTTTTTTACACTTTATTCATACTATTTGCTCGTTTTTTTAAGTAGTCGGAAAGTAGACGTTTTTAGAATGCCTTAGATTACTGTAAAGTTTACAGTCATTAGATTTCTGCATTGTATTTGACAGTTCCAAAACTTTTATTTTTTTTATTTTTTTACTTTTTTTTGAAATGGAGTAAGTAGGTGTGGTTCAGGACAGTAATAGGAAAGATTAGGAAAAAATTATTGGATTGAAAATTAGGACTTTTAATGAAAGCACTTTTTTTTATTTTAAACTAAAGACTACTGTATTTGATCGCTGATCTTCAAAAATAATTGCATACCGGACTATTTCTGCAGTTTTTCGTTTTTTGCTCGCAAAAATTTTTTTTCTTTTCAAGAAAAAAAAAGATTTTCGCTTTTGAAGTATAAAGTTTAAATAATAAAACAATATTTTAGTGTTTGTGATGGTTGCGACTATATTCTTCACGTTGCTTCACCTTGGCCAATTGTGGCCGATGAAAAAGTAATTGGTGTGGCTGTTAACGGTACCATAAACGTTTTGAAGGCTGCAGCCACTTACAGAAGAATCAAGAAAATTGTGCTCACTAGTAGTTGTTCTGCAGTTAACGGTATATTTATTTAACTATCGATTTCTTCTGAAACCTGTAGCTAAGAAGTTTTGTTTTTTTCTTATCTAATACGGGGACGATTGTTGGAAATAATCAGGTTTTTACAAATACTTATAAAGCGAATGATTAAAATTCTATTTGTGTACTTCAGAATGCTTTTCTTTTTTGATAAAACGAAATAAGACAAATTTTTATTTCAGATGGTTACAGAAATGATGCACGAGTTTTTGACGAAAAATGCTGGTCAGATTTGACCAGTGAAAGAATCGAAAATTATGGCCGGTCTAAAACTCTTGCAGAAAAAGCTGCGTGGGAATTTTGGTCAAAACTAGATGGTACTTTTTAATTGTTAATTTTTACATCTTCTGTATTATTGTTAAAAATGTAATTTTACTGAAAAAAAAAGTCAAACTTTTAATTTTAACGTAACATAAAAAAATAAAAGAAATTAATTAAATAAATATATTTCTGCAGAATCAAATCGATTTCAATTAACGGTTTTGAATCCGACGTTTGTTGTTGGTCCTGTTCTTTCCGATCAGGGACATGGAAGTGCGACGGTACAGTTTGGGTTTAAGAATTTAATTCTTCAAATAATTGTTTTTTACAAGAAAATCTTCTAGAATCCAATTTAGATTATTTCGCGGATGATGAGTTACAAGACATACTTAGCAGCTCCAAAAGTTTCACTTGGTATGGTTGATGTTCGAGATGTAGCTACAGCACATATACGAGCAATGACTACGCCAGAGACAAATGGGGAGCGTATTTTGATAACCAGCACACCGTCAGTATGGTTAGGACAAGTAATCAAATGGTTAA